TATCAGGCTATTTGTAAAGTGCATTAAAAAAATAAATCAACGGCGGGGATTTTGCCAAATATTCAAATGTTGAATCATAAAATCCGAATCAACCCTTGGACGCAGAAGCTCCTCTGCTCAGTGCGAAGCACTGAGTGATGAAGGCCTATTTCCTCCTTTTACTCCATACCACCACCATATACAAGAGGGTGATGTGAAGGCAGCTAAGAGCGCCCCCCCCCCCCCCCCCCCCACCTCCCACTAACTGTAAAAAAACTAATACAAATCAAACAAAACCTGAGGTGGAGAACAACAACAATAAGAAAAAAAGATGCGCTCATATGTGTGGTGTCGCACTACCTGACTCACTTTTCAAAAATACAAAATCTGAAACACAAAAACCCAAACAACCCCTTGGCGCAGAAGCGCCCCCTCCCAGAGGGAAAGACTGGGTGGTGAAAGGCTATTTCCCCCTTTTTCCCCCCCCCCCCCCCCCAAAAAAAAGGGGGGTGGGAAGGGGGCCAAGAGCGCCCCCCCCCCCCCCCCCAATCTATTTTGGCCATGTGATAACATGTTCTAAAGATAAACAATAGCGTGTGATGAGAACTCCATATAAGATGGCAAATGGTGGTCCTATTGGACTTGTGGCGTCATTCAATATGACCGACATCTTGATCGCCATCGAAGTATTTAATTTTATGAAAATTTCAAGGAAAATGCCTAGGAAAACTAACTGCCATGTCACAGGGTTACTCGTGTTTTGACAGTGTAAGAGACAGTATGTTACTGAATTGAAGCATTTAAGAGTTAGGCATCGAACGTTATTGAAATGCACGAACCCCGGGGAGGGTACATCGTAAGCCTAACGGGGATGTGCTGCTGGTTAGGGTCGCATTTTCATGAATGGATTGACTACAGTGGGATGGTTACGTTTTCAAAAGAGTTACTAGAATGAGGTCGCACATTTTCGGGATTTCATATAATTAGGGTTATAAAAATTTTTGCATCTAGGAATTTGAAAAAAAATGTATGAATTCTTTATGACTGACCTAGTTAAAGGCTTTATAAGCGATCCAAGTAGATGCATAAACAGAAGTGGCGAAGTACTAAATTACATTTTCCAAAAGCGGCTAAGATGGGGTCTATAATTTGCCACAGAATTGTCTATAAACGGGTAGGGGTTCCGAGAGGCCAGCAGCACATACTGACACAGCAAAAGTTGAACGTTACACAACACAAAGTGTCCCCATGAATAAAACTTCACCATTACTAAATACACTGCCAAATAATGTAAAAACTCTCGGCGAGTTTTCGGTTCTTTCAAAAAGAAAATCTAATTTGAGGTTTCGACATTAATCAGGCCTGAATTTCCGCCCACAGTTTTTGAATTCAGCCTGAAAGACGTCATTAAGTCATTAATTTGTTCTTTTTTTTAAATAGAAATGCACGTGATATTTCAGCAGAATATAATTTGTAAAAACTTGCATTGGCTACGATATACAGTCAACTCTCTCCTTGCGGACACGCCGCTATTCCGGACGCTCGCAATTACGGACAAAATCCTAATCCACGGCAAAAGCTACACGGGTTTGACTGGAAATGACTCCAGCTATTACGGACTCTCGCTATCACGGAATTACGGACACTTTCTTCTTACCAAAGTGACAATTTTATTGTTTCGACTCTCGATAAAGCGGACACGCTGTACTTCTCACGTAACGCTATTATGTAAAGTTACAGCCTGCTTTTCATCATTTACCAAAATACATTTCAAAAGATTTCTGGAATGTTCAATTTCACATCGATTCCTCAAATTGTTTGCACAATCATCCTCACTTCTTCACTTGACCTTGCCATTTTTTTCTTCCCGGCTCTTTAGGAGAGCTCAAGCCCTCGTGTTCCATTCTCAACAGTTGCTTAGCATTTTCCGTATCGTCGATAAGTTCGTCCAGTCTTGGAAGATATTTTGGGTCGCCATGTCCGTACAATCACGAATCACATTACCTTTTCAAACGCTCGTGTTCAAGAACTGGACCAAAAGTATGGAACCAATTCCTCCTGAATAGGGAGATGCTATGGGGTCTATAATTGGCCACAGAATTGCCTATAATGGGGTAGGGGTTCCGAGAGGCTAGCAGCACATACTGACACAGCAAAAGTTGAACGTTACACAACACAAAGTGTCCCCATGAATAAAAGTTCACCAGTACTAAATACACTCTCTCCTGAATAGAGGGATGCTTCAAAACCCATTTTTAAGAGGAAAATTCGCTACGCCTTCTTTTGAGCAAACAACCTACAATATTCAGGTGGCGAAAACGCCATGACAATATCTTGGCCGTAAAAGCCATTGCTGAAAAGCCCACTTTTTTAAAATTTGTTTTTTTGTAAAATATTTTCGTCAACCGCTCTTGTCGTTAGTTAATATTGGACTGAGCCTGCTGATACACGAGGGAGAGCAGCGGTATAAACCATATATAGTCAGCGATCCCCGGATGGTGTCCCTGCTGTGGCCCCCCTTTGAAAAATCCTGGTTACGCCCGTGTCTTTTGGATAGGGACGACTATGTTGAAGTCGACACTTAAGCTCAAAGACAACACCCGGGCTCTACAAAATAGATTTTAGGTATTTACTCAGTTTAACAATTCTTAGCTAATAATTGGGCTGTGCAGGGTATCAAATTTTGTTCTCTATGAGTGCCTTCCTTTGAGATGATCAGGATCAGGATCAGTGATCCGAGATCACTCAGATCATGGTAGATCAAATGAACCGATGACCCTTTGTCCAGAGTAGATTCATCGGCTCATTTGATCTACCATGAGTGATCTCGGATCACTGATCCTGATCCCTGATCATCTCAAACGGACGCACTCAGTAATATTATTATGGCTAGATTTTCGGTCTCATGTTTTTTTTTTCTTCTAGTTCATCATCTTCCGCCTCGATTAGCTTAAGCTAACTGCAGGATGTGTGAAATATTTCCTTTCCAGTTTACTTTGATTTGTTACTTGTAAACTTTTTCAGGTGAACCAAAGTTCTTGTTGTTGTTGTTGTTGCTATTTTGGAGTCACTTCACGAGTCACGTGATTAGGTGACGAACTGATCATGTCCATAAACCATTCTTAGTGGTTGCTTGACTACTGTAGGCAAGAGTTCGTCTTGAATGACCCCTTGATGGGGAGGAAACAAACATCGGGAGAAATGGCTATTGTTCTCGTGACATTTACTTACAGTCGATGAAAGTTTCTAGGTCTGTCATATCGCTTATTTGTATTCTGAAGTGCTTAACAGAAGTCTATTGCATTGGTTACCATGAATGTGTGGCAGTACCGTTCATCGCGTAGAGTAGAGTAGTCGGGTTAAACTAACAATCCTTCAACTTTTAAATCCTTGAAAACTAATCTTTCAACTTTAAGAATCAGCTCACTCTGCTGCGCCAAAAACACCCGTTTTCTCTATTATCATGCCGGCTTTCATGGTGCATTCATGCTTGAAAAATACGCTACAATGTCTTATTCATATGCGTACGTAAATGTCCGACCATTTTTCCCGATACTGAGTATGTTGATGAAAGTGGCGATTCTCTGCTTTTTGTATGACGACTACATAGTGACTGGCAATGAATTTTATTACTTTTTTACATTGTTTATAACTTAAAACCCTAGTCACGACACTTACATGTATTTTATCGTCAAGGGTTACAATGTTAGATGATCACGCGTCACAGTGAATATATAACTCACGAATCACGGCTGTATTTTATAACTTTTCCCGATTCACGCTGTGTTTACTGGCCAATTCACGGTCACGCGACACCCCTTTCAGACCCTGAAACTGAAGCAAGGTCAGGTATTATGGCGAAATGCCCGCTACGCTGGGTACGCGGTGCGCATGTGGTGGGAAGTGCAGCCTAGCTTCGGGCCATCATTTCTCCAGGTCTGTGAGTCAAATATTCCTTCGCGTGCGCGGGAGCTCTCCTAAATCAGTGTTAGTGTTTCCTGTTCAACGGATTTAACAAACCGATCTATTGCGCGCGCTACATATGCGTCGCCCACATAAAACCATAGGAAAGGCAGAGTTTTAATTGTCACCAGTGACCAAGCGGGAAAACGTAAGCGAGAATCCCATCCGAGTTTAGGTTTAGAAATGATTAAAAAACCCGACAATAATAGACTAAAATAGAGTCCAACCATAACATTTAAAGTCTCCCGCATACCGAGCTTGAAAAGCAATAAAACTAAGCCCTTCCTTCCTGTGCCGATCACGTACAATACAAAAAATTACCGCGGCGACGCTGAGTCTGCTTCTACTGTCGGTCGAGCGTGCAGCACCGGATTTCACTCAAAACTGATCTCTTTCACGATCTATAAACACACAAACATATTTTTCAAGAGGTAATAATATTTTTGTAGGGGATTTGACTTGACTAATCGTCTTGAACGTCTCGAATTTTCTTAATAAAGTTGCGGTTTGAACGAAGGATAGTTTGTACACGAGCGCACCACCGCGGTATTTAGTCTTGTCATCGCTTATCACACGGCTTATCAACGTTTTGCTTAACAAAAATTTAAGTCATGTTCCTAAAATCACCAGCGCATTACACAGAAAAGTTTATAGCTAAACAAAGCTCAACCTTTCAATTCAATCTTAAATCGATCGAGAAAAGGAACCAACAAATGGTTTGGCCGTTGAAACCACGCCCACTTCTCTTTTTCGTCGAAGTAGTTAGTTTTGTTTGTTGCTTGTCCATGCATGAGGCATTGTTTTTTTGATTGTGACTTTTCGCCATATGTCTTCTAAGTCATTAGCGGCATCCACACTAATGATCAACCTAAGAGTCTAACGGTAGATAATTATTGGCTCTTGAAAGACGTTTGTTTGTGTTTGAGGAGCCTTAACTTGTTAAAACTTCCTTCCTGATCTGATATGACCAACGCGGAATGATCCTGCATTTTTAATTTAGCTATTAGTTTGGGGATCAAAGTCTCCATTAACTAGCATGTTCGCGAAGTTTTAAACTTTTAAAAAACTTGCTTACCTTCTAATTCTCTAGGCGTGGAATATGTAGAAGAAATCGTAAAGTAGATTAGACCTAGGAGATTAGCGTCATCGTTGATCGGTTCCAAAATGATGTGGAATACAACGGAAGACATTACTTCATTCTTGAACTTAAAAAAGCTAAGGAATAAGCTGATATGGCAGGCCAGTATAGGATAACCTTTCGTCCTTTACTATGGCTACGCCGATCGGTTAAAACTGTGCATTATTCATCAAATCACTAACCCGTTGCTTTTATCTTGCCATCGATTCTCGATTTCCTAGTTTTAGAAGCTTGAACCGGGAAGGGGGGTGGGGGGGGGGGGTACTCCTGGGAATTCTTGGTGGGGGTGTGCCACCCAGTTCTCCAAGTCCTGACCCTATTTCAGACCATTAATGTAATTTTCCACACCCGTTTTCAGACCAGACCTCTAAAATCCATACCCGTTTTCAGACCTGGCCTTTAGGCAGAAATTATGTCATCATTACTTAGATTAGAGTGCAAACAAAGAAATTCTTCCAAGCCATTTCCAATTCGCATATTTCTCTTTCTTTCTTACTCATTTAAAATTGAAACGATAAATACGTTCATACACTCAAGTAGTTCCAACGAAAACCGTACCCAATTCCAGACCAAAACAGGCAAAGTCTATACCCGTTTTCAGACCAAAATGGCGCAAAAAAGCATACCCGATGGTGCTACACATACTTTTATAGCTTATATAAGGGAGTACTCCACCCTCCGGGGCAGAAAACGGAAAAACAAAGCACTCCATTGTTCAATGCGTAACTCACAAGAAATCACAAGAATTAATCACTTGAGTTTTGCTTTACGATTTTTGCTTTGCCAACAAGATGAAAACGTTTTGACAACCTTGAACACCTTAACAGAAATCGAACTGAAAACTCGAACGCAGACTCGGTTCGGTCAGCGTCTAGCGTGGGTACTTTTCAATCTAGGAGAGATGTGCGCGCGACGATTCTCAAACCTTACCTTATTATGTAATGGGGAGACCAAATGAAAAATGATGTCTTATTTAACAGAAAGCCAATAGCGAAAAATTGGGTGAATAGGCCGTTTTTATTGTTTACTTCAAATGGACATTCATAAAGCACATAATATGGGGGTAAACCTACTGATGATTCAAAACAAAACTCAACGCAGGGCTGGCACTACAGCAAAGGGCTGATCGATTATAGGCCAATATTGCGGCTAACAAAATTAGCTTCTTCAGGGCCAGAACTATACCGAGATAAAATATCTTTTAACGGCTCCTAAAATTTAATTTGAAATTCACATAACTGGTTAATAATTAACTACAATTATAAATACTAGATAGAATAATATACAGGTTAATGACGATTTATTTTCTAACCATTACTTAAGTAAGGCAAATTCCATTTAACGTAGATACCCTGTCAAAGAATGGCATTACCAACAAGGATACCCTAAGGACTTTTGTTCCAGAATTTTCACAACAACTCGACGTTTTATACATTTTTGAGAGTAACCAACCTACAGTATATCAAAACTGAAAAGTCAAGTTGTTTCAAAATGTACTGGGATAAGATCATAACGTTTATCATCGATCTTTGAGTTTCATTTCTGATTAAGGATACCCTATTCAAGGACTGGGCACCTTGAAAATCATACCCTATCGCGCGGAACGTTCATAAAAAGGGAGTGCGACCACTTCCCTAGGGTCAAGAGAGCTCATTTTTCTCTTGCTAGGGTCCACGTTCCGAGGGTCTTCTCGTTCCATATTTGAAACTGAGAATGCTCTGGGGACGAGAGGTTGTAGGGAGTACTTCCCCCGGGTTAACACTAAGCGCGAGCTTGCAGTGTTTACAAGTAAAATAAATCTGAAATGAAATAAAGAAATGTTGAGAGATAAAGTTGAGTACACAAAGATATAAAACAAGAACAATTGACGAAAGTCACAAAGACGTCTTCACTGATCAGAAACTGAGGGTTCCCAATAGCGTTCTTCAATCCCTTGATCCCGACCCAAAATTTCGGGCAATCCCGTAATCCCGATGGTTATTTTTGGCGTCCCACCTCCCGTGCATACTTTCAATCCCGAATCCCGAATTTAGAATACGGGAAATCCCGAATCCCGAGCTTCAAATAAGAGAAATCCTGGATCCCGAAAAAACTATTGGTGACCCTCGAAACTTGCCCTTGAGAATTACGACACATACTTTTAACGATTGTTGCTGACTATTCTCGTTCCTACATTTCTTACTTATGATTACGGTCTTGCTCTGAAGTGCTCTTTGGCTTGGTGATTAGGCATTGATACTTTATTTTGAGAGTAAATAAATACTAAGGAGACTTCAAGTTTCGAGCTGCTTCTCGTTGGTACAATATAACGAAGAAAACTTAAACGTTCATAATACAAGGTATGGTGGTCTCCTGTTCAGTTCTTGAATTTTTTAACTCTAGAGGCACTCGGTGGACAATTTGTTTTGAATTGCTGAAGAACCTAATGGACAAAAAGGCTAACACCTCGAAATTTGAATGCTGCTGAAAATTAGAACGAACTTGACGGTATTCCTTATCGAACGCAGGAAATAGAAAACCCCCATTTTTTGAACTGATGAGCGGATTTGGACGTGGCTGTAGAGTCGCTCGAAAGTGGTCCAAGCATTAAGGCGATCATAACTTACATCTATAATGGCAGTTGCTTTGGCAGCTCCTCAATTTCCACCGGACAATTCAGGGGATCCTCGATATCACGAAGAGCCCAGGGTACGGCAAAATTTACTCGCCAGCTATAACGAGGTTTCGTGATATCGAAGTTCTTTTTTATGTTTAAATTTATTATTACTGGGATAAAGAAAATCGTTCGTTCTATCATATCAAGGATTTCGTTATAAAGAGGTTTCGTTATATTGCCGGAGGTTCGACTGTAGTCTTTTTTTTATATAAACAATATTTATTACAACATTAGCTCTAAGAGCCTAAGGGGCTCATCTACAGCGAGCTTACGCTGTGTACATTCAATATTTCAAAAATACAAATGCACGTCACGATCGAACACATACATAAAAAAAGCGAAAGTATAAAAAGAAAAAAAATATATATATAAAACACACACAGCAACTAACATGCAGAAGCGAGTTAATAGCGAAATAAACGACTGGACAAGCTGAAACAATCTAACGTTAAGTTGAAAATCAGCAGTAGAAATACCGTTTAAAAGCCAATCCATTTTTTTCTTATTTTAAGCACAACGCCATCTATTACCAAGTAATTCTACAGCGGAGGCAAAAAAACTTTTCACGCAGAACAGCAAAACTTGGGTAATACAGGAATATTGTTTCACGTCTTACATAGATGCATCGCAAAGAGCCGCACAGGCAGGTGAAGGACAGCAAGTTTCCTGAAAAAGGTGATAATTTAAGGCACCAAAATTAAGACTCAAACGAGTGTGAAAAATTGACGCTGAACGATCCCCGATATAAAAAAAGATAGCTGCGGGATGGAAAATGCAGGAATTTTAAAAGGTTTCGCTTGAAGATGCTTGGAGAAGACGATATGCGTGTCTCTAATGAAAAAGTCTGTTCCATTGTAGTCTAGAGGAAAGCGTCTTTGTTTTCTTGCGCCGAAACGCAATTTACAAATGAAAACTCCAATTTAAAATCCTAACCGCATCTGAAACGATCTGAAAACTCCAGTCTAACACTCTTGCTAAGTCCAAATAACTAAAATGACAGAGGCTGAGGGCCTGTGATTGTAGCGACCCTAACAAAAGACAACAATACCAAAAACGGATGCCCTACTAGTTATTGAGTACTGAGCACTTCATAAACCATACCCTTTCCCGCGGCACGTACCTATATAATGTACCCCCCAAAACCCCACAGGAAAACAAGTCGGCCATTAAATCTGATCGGTAAAATGAAAAATATTTACTAAGAGGCGGTTTCATTTCTAATTTTGGGGCGCGGTTTCCTTCGGGGCTGGCAGGAAAGAGAAGCTTGGTTTTATTATTCATAAAACATGGGAATTTACTTATTTTGACTGGTAGATAATGAATAAACCGACATTTTCTTATTTGTCAGTCAAGACACTAGTTCTTCACACAATACCTATGGAAAAATGAAAGTGTCTTTTCAATGGATATGTCTCAAGGTGAAAATAGACCTTAACGAAATTTATCCCCCGTGGAAAATTCCAAGAAACATTTTCTCGGCAGCTGCGGTACACTCACCTTGGTAGGAAATTTCAGTTTTCGTATAACTGAACTTTATTGACCAAACCTATTCACTTACAAATGGTTAAGTAAAGGCTATTAAGGTCTTTTGATACTTGTTGTGTTACCGCCAAAAATAAAGAAATGTATATTTCCCATGTGGGAAAAAAAAAGAGGAAAAATTAAAGATGAATAAGATATCATATCCTTCACTCTGGTGCACTTTTTCCTGGCTCTGACAGCACTGGGAGTAACGGAGAAAAACTAATAAAGACTAAAATCATGCAGGGATGCGCTGAAGTCTTAAAAAGATTTTTAAGACGGAGAACTGACAACTAACAACTGACATTGACTTTGGTAACACAACATCATTCGTCTTCAACGGTGTTCTTTAGACTGCGAGGAGTCTTTTATTTTTCTTTGCAAAGTTACTGCACGCGAAACCTAAGGACGCGAGCGGCAAAGCCGCGAGCCGCGTGAAACGAGGGCGTAAGCCCGAGAAGAAAAGTCTCAATCCCTTATTGTAATAATAACGTCGTGGTTTGCAATCGCGCTGGATGAGATAAGAACTAGACGGATTTAAGAGAAAAGGCGGACTTCAAGCAGTCTAGTGTTCTTTGACTTAGGCGTGTCATAGCTGATAGTTTCATGTTACGCTGAAGTCTTTTGAGACCTAGAGAGACTTGAACAAACAACTGAAATTGGCGATGGTACCACAAGATCATTCGTCTTCAAACCCATGGTGTTCTCAGTCTTGGGCGCGTAATAACTGATTTGATGGTTTAGAACGAGTTGTACCGAAGTCTTTTAACGATATGGTAAGCATGACTTAGAAACGGAAGACTGTAACAATTTACTTAAGATTTACTATACACGAAGGTAACACAACAGTATTCCGCTCTCAGGCTCACGGTGTTTTGACTTGAGTGTGTATTACATAACTAATCTCACAGTTTAGAGGAAAAAATGCTCAGAACACAGATTCGCTGAAAACTCTGAACCCGTAATAGCACGACCCAGTTCTGTCAGTCAGGCTATGGAAGGAAGCCCAGGTTCGACCTGCACTGTCCTTGTAAACGCGGTTTTGTTGTTCGGTCGCGGGAAAGGGCCGGCCGTCGCAATATAGTGACCGCGCACGACCAAAACTCTCCGACTTTGTCCTACCTGGCTTCCTCTCCGCCTTCTTTGAGCTCAGATCTGCTTATAAGTGATTAGCTGTTCAGCCAAGTTGAAAATAAAACTCATAAAAAAGATGAGCTTTTCGGCTTCATAAAACGTGGCTCAATTTATTTTAATCAAAACTATACGAACAACACAGGCCACACTCAGTATTTCGGCCTGGTTTCCTGTCATTATACATTTGTGCCCTAACCGCATAACCTCTCACTTCAATTCGCACAGGTAGAAATGTGTGTACAAATGCATTTTGATATTACAAATGTGATAGAACTAACCCACTAGAGCCCCCCCTTCCCGCCCCCACGCTCGTTTTCCTCGCCTAAGAATCACCTGTTCCAGTTTTTGCAGTGCAGTTCACAACTGCCCTCTGTTTGCTCCCGTTAGAAATTAATTTATACATGCACTGAACACAACGATAAAACTGATGTAAGCTCTATCAAAACAAACTGTATTGTTACTCCCTTCCAATTTTAAATGAACATCGAAGAGGTCAAGTTCCAGCTTCCGCTTACAGCGACAAGATGGTTTTAACCAATCTATTAATTGCACCTAATATCAGCCCAATATAAAAACTCTAGTTCGCTTGTGGATTAGCGATATCCTGTGGTATTCATGTGCTTTTTCCGTTAAATATTATTTGTCTAGACAACGGACGCGAGAGAACCAAGCTATCTTTAGAAACGAAAACATTGTTAAAAACATCCAGTTTGCTTGTAAAAACCATGTATTAATTGCTGATGAAGCTAAAACAACTTGGGAAAACAAAAAACCAAAACAGAGAATATAGATGTCTAGAAATAAATTTAGTTACAAACAGCTTGGACATTAATTCGAAATTGGCAGTATAGATTTTAACAACGGGGATAGAATTCCCTTCAGATTCGACAATGAGTGTAGCTTCAATTTTCACAACCAGATTCTATGGGTTTTGCTTTTTTGCGATACGCCCTCGGCTCTCTCTACGTACCTTTCAAATGCTTGGTGTGATAATTGTCAAGGAAGCATACCGTCTTTGACAAAATGGGTGGCGGTCTCACAGAAGTAATCCCTTCCAACATTTTAACGTTGGAAACCAAATTTAAAGTGTTTGAAAGCTTCTTTTATATTCCTTAATGTGTAGTGAATCTAAACGAAATGTTATAACGTAGTCAGTATGTAAAAAAGACAGTTCTGGTTTTTGGGATTAATAACTTGAAACAGTTACAGCATTTACAGGGGTAGGATCAGTTCCGAACAGCATGACAAATTTTTAAGACAAGTGTACCTTAAATCATTGTTCCCTTCTTCGCAACTATGCAAGTCGTGCCGCGGTTGAATATCTGATTTACCTAATTACGACTCTATTCATGAGTTTACAGAACGGAGAAGATACCACTATACTCAAGCTTGGCGGATCCTGAGAAGTCTTAAAATTTTCACCAGCAATACGTAATTTCGTCCGTGAATCAGTTCATATAATTCCCTCTGAATTGGCGTGCCACTGGTCTCAGAGGATGAGTAACTTACTAAGTATCTCGGAAGTAAAACGTAAGGTTGAAAACAAAGACACTGCTTTGTTCAAGAACGCCAAAAGTTCCTGAAAAAGTAACAAAACTCGCGGAATGAGAGTGGTAGACTCATTAGAACTTTTCCTCGTAGTAACAGGTACTAAAGCTGCAAAATAATCATTGGTTAAAAGACTGCGGAAGCGCTTAATCAGAGCACATGGACAAAAGGTGTGAAGCAAAAAGAATAAAAATGTTCTGGCCATTTCCTTTTTTGAAGCTTATAAGTCATAAGTGTGATTACACTATTTTAAAACCAATTAAAGTTGCTTTATTCCGATTGTCAAGAATTGTTTGTGACATAAAGGATCAGGTATTAAAAATCCTGAAAAATGTAGGCTCGAGATTTTTTCCTGATGTAAAAGACATTAGACCAAATTCTAAAAGAAATTTTATAAGGGGAGGAGCCGTTTATTCGGCCTGTGACCAAAAGGTTCGCGTGATCTGCCCTTCTCTTTTCTCAAACATATTACCATTTGGGGCAAGTCACAAAACGTCAAGATTAAAACTGGAAAACTGCTTTTTTTATTCCACAAACGCAAAATCTGATTAGAAAAATATAAGATACGCTTACAGTCATGATTCTTGATATAGCTTTGATATGAGCTACAATGTTAAACTAAAGTAAACAAAAGCATGGGTATTTATATACTTGATATTGTACAAAGAGTAAAATCCATTGACAAAAAAGAACCTTCTACCAATTTTTCAATAGCCTCACAAGTGACACAAGTCTCTCCTTCCGTTAGTTTATCCAATGGTTTATCTCAGAGCAAACTGACACGCAACTGAAAAACGGTCCGCAAACTAGTAGCCATGTAAGAATAGTTATCAAAAAAAAGTTATCAAAATGTTTTACACTAAGCGTGACTCGACAGTCATTATCTACGTGTCTCAAACAAATCAACAATATTTCAAAGAGACGGATTTCTTACTTCACTTATCGTCAAATAAAATCCTTCAAAGGGAAAGGATTATCTGTCTCGTTTTAATATCCAACAGTCAGTTGTCGGAACTCATGCTGCCTTGAAAATTGGGACAACAAAAGTCCAAGCCCGCGGAAAGCCACATGGTGGCCCTAAAGCCAGTATGTCAGCAATTACCGTGATTTTGGTAACTGGTTCCTTTTTTTGTACACAAAGGAGAACATGAGCATCGTGTGGTCGTTAAATATTGATTCCATTGCGATCTATTTTAGGTTTTTAAAGACGTTTGGAGGATAAGCGGAAGTACTGTGACCAAGCTGGCTAGTGAGGGATCGGGATGAGAAGAAACATAGGCTTCGAATTCGATAGAGACCTCCCATTTCCGTTTCCGACTGAATGAGCGGGCGATAAGGGTTTCATCACGTCACAGGGGTTCATTGTTGTCAAAGGGAAAAGCGGTCCTATCGTCGACTTGCTCTGTTAAAACTCTTCGAAAGTCTTTTGTGAACACTCAAAACAGACTTGAAATGGTATGAACGGGTTATGGCACGATGGGTTGACGCGGTTTTCACAACGTCAGGAAGTGATTGCCTAATACGAACGGTTGTCAAATAATTCGCTAAAGCGGCTAAAGCGCGCGAGTCAATAAAGATGAACATGTAAAACGGAAGGACGCAAACAGCAAGAAACTGAAGGAATGTTCGAAAACTACGAAAACCAAACTACCACGCAAAACTCATATCCTGAAACACCCAATTTTATTCAGTTCCTTTTAGAGTGTTCCGCATATTTATCATCTGAAGTAACAACCTGTGTTGCATACAATAGTCAAAAAGGACAAAACTTAAATACAAAGATTAAAAACTTTCATAAATTATAATTCTCTTTCTGCGCGTCATAATTTAACTAAACAATTTGTTTTTTACATTGCTGCATATTCGCATGATGCATTTGTTTTGGTTCGGATGGAAGCGAAAAACAAACAGGCTTATTAGATTTGCCGGAGTAAAAACAGATGGCAAGAGCATTTGATAGTCTGGTATAAAGTCACAAGAACTTAATCTATCAGTCATCCTATCGCGTAAATAAAGAATTTCAAACTCTGATTTCAGGTTTATGGATTTCGATAAACACAATGAAACGCAACAAAAAGTCTGGCATCATTTAACACTAAAGAAGAGATAACGCTTCCCTGATTAATTAAAACCTAAAAGCCTGTTAACGTTTCGCAGACTTCCCACCTCATACAAATAAAACATTTGATTAAAACTCTAATAAAAACTCGCACATAACATATGGCGATGGATTTTACAAAAATTACTTCGAATTCTGACTTATGAAGTCAAAAGTTCTTGCCTAGACAAATTAAATAATCTCAACTATTTCGAGTTAAATTTAAAGCTTTTTTGTGTCTTTTTCTTTTTTCTCGAGCTGGTTGCGGCCTTTTTACAGCCCCTGGCTGGTAAGTAACACCACAAACAGGGTATGAACAATGACAAAAGTGCAAGACACCCCCATCTCGGCGCGCAAGAGCTTACGGGTCCGGCGCAAGAACACGGCTCCGCGGCCAGGTGTCCTTCGTCAAAATTGTCTTTCGTACAGTGATAAAAGATTCCTTTTACACAACACATACAACTGGCATAGTCTATGAGCTCGTCTGCCTCTACACCACACAAGAGGGGTTCCTGTTTGTCGTTAGTCCACTGCGACCTTTGGTTAGTTCTATTCAACGAGTTACTATTGTCAACAAGTCTTGTTGTAGGCCGTGATTGCGGAGAGCTCGGTTGACTCTCAACCAAAGAGGCTTTAGTCTTTGAATAATAACAATCGGTATACAGTCTACGATCGAAGCTGGAAACTCTCCCCAAGCTTGGCTTAGGATTGAGTTCTCCTGGAGTAGAATATGAACGTAGCGTAGTCAACTTTATAGGAGGTGCTTTAGCAAGCGGCGAAAGTTCACAATATTCATCGCCATCGTCCGCACTATCAGAACTTGAAAGTTTTGTCTTTGTTGTAGCGGGCGTTTTGTGACTCACGATCGTCGGTTTTCTCGTACATTCCGCTACTTTACTGGTCGGTTTTTGCTGAATATTATGTCGCCGTAGTTGTTTGTACACTTTAGGGTCGATAACTTTGAAGGTCGGCCCATGTCCAATAACGAATGGATAATAATCGTCCGCATCACTCTCCTCTGTGATGGGTGCAGAGAAATTCGATGTGAAACGCGGTAACTTTTCAACCAAAGTGAACTGGTTCCTATCATTTGTTCCTTGCATTATGTTCCTTAATTCTTTGCGTCTCATGAAGATGAACTAAAAGTCAGTCAGTTGAGTAGAAAAAATTATCCTGCCATACAGCGGTGATCATTTGTTGTGTCAGTGTTGACCGGTCAATGTTGTTACTCAATTCAAACTGAACGCGCCGGTCGCCGTGACTGTATTATAATAGGCAGGCCTTAGCTTGCGTGGCACTTCCGATTGCCAGCTTGGGAAATTTTAATGTTTCCTCTAATCAAATCTGCCAAAAGTCCCAAATCCACAGGGAAGTATTTTCCCGCGAATTTCCTACGAAAATGACCAAAGCTCCTGGTAACAATAATTTACGACAGCATGCAATAGATCGACGGCTTCCCCACCGCATGAATGCTTTCACTTGACGTAAAATATACTCGACGAGTTGAGCATAAATTTCTTGGTGCAATCCTGGCTTTATTACCCCACGGCCCTAACACACTGACTTATTCGCGGGTGGAACACGACCCGTGGTGTAACAAATTAACTTTGAGGGGCACTCTGATGAATGGAAAATTCCTTCCTTCGCAACCAAAATACTTACGTTCTCACTCCTTTGTGGGCCGTTGTTTTGAGCAATTTATATTTAGCCGAGGTCGATTATTCTCTATTGTAATTCAAGCTTTAAAATCCCTCAAGTGATAAACTTGTTTTAACGGAAATGATGGTATGCTATGGGGGGACTTAGTTCCGGTTCTACGAGAGAACGATTACCGATTGACGTAGGCAGTGGCTTCAAACTCTTGAAATAATCATTAAACCCTGATACATGAGTTAAGATCGACTCAGTAGCGAGTCAAAATCGATCAGGATGCTGGGGAAAGAGTCAAAGCATTCTTAATTTCAACCGTTGTTGCCCAAAACAAAGGTAGCGCAGCCTTTAAGTTTAATTTCCCGTTGTGAAAGATTAACATGCAAATGGCGTCCTACATAAACAAGACACAAAAGAAACCCACTCAAAACGGAAGTTCACACCCAGTCACTGATGACAAATGACAAGAGGCTTTTTGAGCTCCTTGTCCGCTGTATTATCTCTGATTGGCTGCCTTTGTCACGAACCACAAATCAACTTGATCACCCTCTGGGGACTAGCAGATTTGTTTTTTCATCGACACGAATCGCACGAATCGCGCGCTCTGTCAACCGAGTTCAGATTAACTAAAATGAATGGCAATAAAACGGAAGGCGTCTTGTGATCCGACAAAGTCAACATTTTAAATGTTTTCTTTACTGTTTTTCTATCCAGGACTACCCACGGTTAATCAATCAATCTTTAAAATTTGCTTTTGTTTTCTTACAGTTGATCCACGTCTAGATTTTCAGCGTTTAAATTTCTCATTAATTTCGGGTCGCAAGAGTCAGGTTTTTTAATATCAACTCTGTTCATTTATGCACTTGAAAAGAGACGGCAACATGTGACGGGGTACTTGATAGTTGTTTAGATTACGGTTGATATGTCTTATGTGGAAAGTTTACATGAATACATTGTCAAGTTAAAAATCAATTGATTCATCTTGCGTTGAGCTGGCAAAGCGAGGTAGATAATAGCTTTGATTTTGTTAAAGCGTTTCCTGTCGATTAACAAGGCCCCTCCTCAAAAGCGGTTACAATTTTACATTTAGTGGTTTACAGAAAAGAAAGTCAGTTACAACTTGCAGGAAAGTATCGACGGCATAGGCGCCAAGATGGCGGATACACCGGACGTGCTCAAAGTATCATGGTTAGACATCAAAATTATTTTTACAAGCGTATTAAAAAAACCATTAACAGACTTATGGAGCAGCTTCGAATTTAGAATTCTGCGATAGCGTAGATGAATGTTATGGTCTTGAATGTTTTTCTTAAAACATTAAAAAAATTCTCGATAATTATTTAAATCACGTGCTGGTTTTGACTACACTGCAAGGAAGCTTGTAATTGGTGGATGATTTTTCTCACACTTCAACTTGTTGTTTGCAATTTGTTGTTCCATCAGTTTATGTATAAATGAAGCTTTTAGCCTTTGTTACCCGTCAGGAAACACGAATTCAGTTCATTTTCTAACGAGTAAAGGTACTTGTTTTCAACAGTCAACAGACTGAAACAAAACATCGCCGGACCAATTAACATTCGTTATCGCAATTTTTTTTTTCTTTTTGCCATATCTCATCGATGAATTCTTTACACAACAATTTCCTGCTCCGCTCTAAACCAAACAAAAATCTACGTAAAGATAAAATTTTGTGCGGTCTGGTTAACTATTTTCTCTTAAAACAGCCAGGGCCTAAAAGCAAAAGTCCGGATTGCGATACAAAATTCAACCAGGAAGAACTTCGACGATAAGGATATACGATGAAAGTTACTTTGAAATGTTTAAATTTTTGTGTTGTCATCTTGTCGTCATTCGCGGTTTTTCCGCCGTCTGTATGCCAAGAGAACAACTTTTACTTAAAAGATTCTAATGTAGTCTGATACGCCAATCCACTTCGTTGCCGGTTTACATATTGAAAAGGATGTTCTCACGGGTTGGCCCTTTATGAAGGTGAAATTAAAAAAGCACTTAACACCCATGAAATAGATAAAAGGGCATAAAAGGCATTTCTTTTTAAAGCCGCTAATTAGTTTTTATCTTTTCAGGCTTTTGTGTGATATTTCTCAGCGTTTTGTGCCAAGACCTCGCCGCACTCTCGAGTCCACAAAGAACAGAACGTGAGAAACAAAATGTTTACATATACTAACTCAGTCAAAAAAAATAAACTCATCAGTTCTGAAGCGGAAAAGTTTCTTTGCATCCTGAAGAGTCTGGTGAAGTTTTTACGCAAAAAAGGAACATGTTCGCATCGGTTTGGTCAGTTTAATTATATAAAAAGAATCACATAAGGCTGTAATACGGAAGAAAATAAAGTCTGAAATGTTTTCCATTACGACAAGTAGGACTTTGTGAGTCCTGCTTTTCTACCCTTTTAAATGTTTAGATTTGTAGTTCAGTTAAGTTCACCTAAAAAAGAGTGCGAATTAGATTGAAGGGCTAGGCTTAAGTAGGACTAAATGTTAATTCCAATTTCTCAGCAACTTCACAAGATGTCCGCTCCCCCCTGACGCGGATAAAGTGGAAATCAAGAAGGCAAGAAGCTTTCTTACACTGTCCTGATCCCAGATAACTGAATATAAAAAATGTTCAGGCCACAAAAGAACGTAGGAGATGGAAAATTTATCCTTGAACTCCGTTAGTTTCTTTACAAAAGCAGTGTTACAACGAGCAATGCACCGAACATTTACGGATGGCGAAACACGATGGGCAGGCATGTGAACGGTATGCATGGCTGTCAAACAGAATTAGCATTGTAACAGAAATTATCAAAAATCCGGAAATGCTGTTGTGAAATCAAATCTCCCCTTCAATTTATCTCCGAGGTGTTCTTCATTTTTGTTTAACCAAGAGAGCGAAACATGACACTGATTATAAAACGCTCAAAGAAAAGACATTTCTAACGGTTATCCTAAAGACAAGGCGAGACGAACATCAAGAAGATGGCCGGTATCCTCTCCTGGAAGGCAGGTTGAATTGGAGTTTCCCAGAAAATAGCGGGAATTTAGTTTACAGTAAAGTGCACGGTCTGCTTTTTCATTGGGAAGTTCGAAAATGATTTTCTTTTCAACGAACCCTAACATTTCTAGTCGACTGACCAACGCTGAGGAATTTTTTGCTTATCTTGTAGCGTTTCCGGCTTTTAATTCACTTCAACGATCTCCGGGGGTACTCCCTAAAAGCGGTATGCGTACGTGGAGATGTTCCTCCAGTCAGAGAACGGTAGCTGGAGCTCTTTAAAACAGTGAGGGGTTTTATGAATTGAGATGTGGAAAAGACCCGATCGGAAAACTGCCAGTTGCGTATTTTGAGGAGACACAACATCTGTGGTAAAACATCACTGCGGTTAATTTTGTCGGATTCTACAACGTTTGCCTATGAGCATCCCCCTTCGAGGAGGGGAGGGGGGGGGGGGTAGGTGGGGGGGGGGAGCATTATATACAGCTCGCGATCCAACTCGAAACTTTTGGGGGAGGGGGGGGGGTTTCCACTTAAATTGGAGATGTTTTAGAATAACAGGGAGGGGGGGGAGAAGGGTACCGGTCCCCCCCCTCCACCCCCATGAAAACAAGGCCCCTTCCCTATAGGGTCATGTGGGTGTTTTTGCGGGGCGCACACTCTGGGGGGAAACTGTCGGTCGGTTGTCGTGTGGTGGGGTTCAGGGGGGGGGGCGCGGGGGGCCGCGGTCGGGGGGGGGGGGGGGGGGGGGGGGTGGGTGGGGGGGGGGGGAATTATATAGCGCCCGGGATCAAACTCGAAATTTTTGGGGGAGGGGGGGGGGTTTCCACTATAATTGGAGATGTGTTAGAATAACAGAGAGTGGGGTGAGAAAGGTCACTGTCTCCCCTCTCCACCCTCATGAAAACAAGAGCCCTTCCCGGACCCAGAATCAGGCATTCATTCCCTCTGAAATATAAACGCATGTTGCAATCCAATAAAAATGGTCTGATGAGTGAAGCGCTGGGAATTTTCTGGGAAATTACTCTCGAGTTTTTAGTAATTACCAAGATGCAGGATTGCAGAAAAACGTTTCATTTGCACTTTATTGAATAAGACAGGAATAAATAAAACCTAAATAGCCCATTTTTAGCAGGTCTTTTATTCTTTAAAACAAAGCTCTGGCTAACTGACTTTCCGCCATCTCACGTGCTATAAGAGACTGGAGAACGGTTTGCTATGAAAAGATTATAATCGGGGTCCTATTCCATTAGTTAATTTAAATTGGGGGCAAAAGTTGTTCCTTTGTGTGTTCGTCAGGGCATTCGGGCTAACACTGTAGTTAACGTGCTTTAAAGTTGACCCGTTCAGTTCTTTGTTCTGTCCTTACTAAGTAGGAATTTTTAGTTATTACAAAGAGAGGTTCAAGCTTATGTATTGTCGTTCTTTAACGTAAGAGGTGAAGCAGTTTTGCTTCACGGTTTGGTTTGGTTGAACGGTTCGTGAT